TTTGTTTTTTGTTTTGTTTTGAGACAGGATCTTGCTATGTAGTTCAGCCTGCCTGGAACTCAAAGTGATCCTCCCGCCTCAGCCTCCACGCCAGCCCAGCTAGTCTGAATTTCTGTGTGGTAGCCTTGCGCTCCTGTCCCAGGACAGGGCCCAGGTTTGGGAACTGCCGGGGGCTGAGCTCATTTCCTAGTTCCATGCACTTGAAATGTGTCCACTGCTGAGGACAGGACTCGCCTTCCCCCAGTCCAGGCTGACGGGGCGGGAGGGACCCAGCGTCACATCGCAGGTGGGGAATGAAGCCACGGCAGCCAGGGTGGTCGGTGAAAGCCTTGGTTTAATTGGTGACAAGATTAAAGAATTGATTATCGATCGAGGGACGACCGATCTAGTGAAAGGGGGAACACAGGAGCAGTTCGCCGGTGTGGGGGGCTGATCGGGGCTGGGACCGCCTGGCCTGTGCTCCCCGCCTCTGGGGAAGCACGGGGGCCGGCTCTGCTCGGCCCTTGCCCCTGGGACGTCCGATGCCCCCTACCCGCGGCGAGTCCGCCCTTCCCGGGACTATGGTACAGTTCGTATAACACAGCAGGGCTCGGGCTTCCCCACCCGGGGACCTCGGCCCTCCTTCCCGACCGGGTCAGCAGAGGAAGGGCGAATCGATGTTCCCTTTTTGCCTTTGGAGAATAATTTACAAACCAACCTTACAATATGTACAAAAAAGAAAAAAAAGAAAAGAAAAGAAAAGAACAGGGCCCATGTGGGCCATCAGCTGGGACAGAAAGAAACTACCTTCTCTACAAAAATGAACCCTGTACAGCGGTATGGGGTGAGGGCCGTCGGGGACAGACAGATGGCAGGCGAAGTGGGGGCTACAGTACCGTGTGCTCAGAACTGGGGGGAAGGAAACGGATGACAGGTCTCTGCCTGGCCCGGCTGCAGAGCCGGGTTGAGGGGCACAGGGACAGGGAGAGGGGGTTCGTTCCTTTGCAACGGTCCCGCATGGCTTGGAGACGGCCTTGTCTGTCTGCCTGTCTGTCGGTCGTATTGCTCAGGGACTAGCTGGGGACCGGGCACAGGGGGAGGGGGGATGCCCCGGCGGGGGGTGTGCGTGTACACCGTTATTGCTTCCTCCTAGGGCGAAGGGGTGGGGGGCGAGGTGCGGGTCGGGCAAGGGGGTCAGGAGGACGCGGTGGGTGCCAGGGACGGGGACTCTGGGCCTGGCTCCGCCGTACCCAAGGCGCAGGTGCGAGCCACTGCGCCCCGTCTCCTCCGGCCGCGGGGTCATTAAGGCAGAAACAAGAGGAGAAGCAGCAGGAGGGGGGGGTGCGCGCGCGCATGCGCGACTGGAGCCCCCCCTCCAACGCAAATCGAGAAATTCAAAGTGACCCAGAGGGTACCGGGGAGGGAGGTGGCGGGCCCAGGGGATCAGACCCCTCTGCAGTCTCAGGGCTGATTCTGGCTGGCGGCCTGGCGACCACTGCTCCCTGCATCCTCAAGCGAGCAGCTCCACCGACCCCCTAGTATGTGCAAAAATGAGGCGGAAGACTTGGTGGGAGGGGAGGGGCGGCTTCCGCAGCGACCCCCTGGCCCGCCGGCCCTGCCCACGATGGCTATTCCGGCTGGGGGCCGGAGCTCCCCAAACCTCAGCAGGAAAGCCCGCGGTGAGGCCCCCCACCTGCGTTTGGGTCCAAATGAGGAAGCCCAGCGGCCGGAAGACGAAGGCTGGAACTCGGGGGAGGGGAGGACTGGGGGGGGAGAGGGGTTTGGGGGTGTAAAATGGGGAACCAGGAGTTGAGGTGTGGGGGGCATCTACAGTTGCTGTGTTTCATCCTTTTTTTTTTTTTCTTATTTTTGTTCTTTTTCTAAAAATGTTACAATTAAAATTTAAAAAATAAAATCCGTTCTGGGACCTCGACCCCTCGCTCCCCAACCCCCACCTCCAAAAAAAGGCCCCGTGGGTGGGGGCGGGGGGGGAGGGGAAAAAAAGAAAAGAGAAAAAACCCCACTTTTCTGTTTTCTTTTTTCTCAAGAGGGCCAAGAGTCTTTGAGGCAGCAGAGGAGGTGGTCGGTAGGGGGTGGGGGACACGGGCATCGGGGTACCTGGGCTGTGGCTGCGGCTCAGGGAGGGTCCCCGCTCGACTCCCGCCCGCCCGGAACCGGGAGGACGGCGGGGTCCTCCCCTGAAGTCCCTGCGCAGGCGCAACAAGCCCTCTTGGCAGCCTGAGGGTCTCTTTGGGCCCCCACCTCGGCCGCCGTGGAGGGGAGGCCCGGGGGGCCCGGGGACCCCTCTGGCGTGGACTGGGTCCTCAAGGCGGGCAGAATGGGGCTTTCAGGGGCCGCGTCGCAGCTTCCAGCATCCATGGATTCCTCCTGCGCCGCCGGGGCACCGCACACCAAGCCCAAAGCCCGTGGCAAATGCCCTGTCTCGGCCTCTTGGCCCTTGACCCTGACCGGCTCCTCCGCCCAGGATGATTCCCGAGCTTCCAATAAATCCTGGGCTAGGGATGCTTCCTCCTCCTCTTCCTCCTCCAGTGTCAGCTCAAACTGAAACTTCTCGGGCGGGGCGGGGCGGCCGGGCCCGCCGGGCTCCTCCTCGGGCGGCGGGGACGGGCTCTGCCGGATGGCGCTGTAGTACCAGTCCCGGTTGTCTTCCAGCGTGTCCAGGATGTCCTGCGCGTCGGGGTGCACCAGGTCCGCCCACGTCTCCCACAGCGGGTGCACGATGTAGTCGATGAAGCCAACCTGAGGCAGAGGGGAGGGGGTCTGAATGGTCGGCTGGGGGTGGAGGCCCCCTCGCATAGGCATTCCTGTATTCCCGAATTCTAAGAAGCTGAGGCAGGAGGACTGCAAGTTCAAATCCCAAATGAGCAGCTTTCAGACACCTTGTCTCAAAATTAAAAATAACAAGAGCCGGGCGTGCTGGGGCACGCCTGTAATCCCAGCACTTGGGAGGCTGAGGCAGAAAGCTCACTATGAGTTGAAGGCCAGCCTGGGCTACATACTGACTTCAAGGCCAGCGTGGACAACGAGCAAGAACTTATCTCTAAATGCATACATACATACATATATAAGCAAGTGAAGTGGAGATCAAGCGCCATGGTAGAATGCATGAATTAAACAAATATGTGGGAACACTTCTGTATAAACATCAATTGAGGATTTGTTAGGGGAAAATAATGGCATAGCATAGATATTTATTTGGCATTTTTCCAATAAACAGAAACTAGAAACTTCGTGGCAGACTGCTGTGAGATACCTCTAATATCTTTCCTTCCACCGAGTGGCACAACCTCTGCTTGCGGGAGGCAACACGTCCAGTTCACTACTACATTTCCCAGCATCCTTTGCAAAGAGGTGACCATGTGACTGACTATGGCGGGAAGAGCCAGGGGGCTGCCTTTGCTGGCACAGGCCTTCCCTCACCGGAATGCAGCCAAAATGGCTGGCTGGAGCTTGGCCCTCCTCTGTGACCAGAAGAGGCATTCCTCTCACACTTTCGGTGGCAGAAAAAAAAACATCATTTGTCCCCCAGGGTGCCTGTGAACAACCTGTTGTCTCAATGCCAGATTCTCGTTTTTTAAGACTTTTAAGTGAGGGAAAGAAATACTTTATCTTGTTCCCATCACTGTGAATTTTACTTCACGCTTTTTTGAGACAAGGTCTCAATATGTAGTTCAGACTGGATTTGACCTCACTGTGTAGCCCAGGCTGGCCTCAAACTCAGGGTGATCCTCTTGCCTCAGCCTCTCGAGTGCTGGGATTACAGGTGTATGCCACCATGCCTGGCTTGTCACTGTGAATTTCTAACTGCTAAACACCTGCATGTCCATTGATAGGAAAACAACTGAACAACTATATCTATGAAATACTATACAGAAGTGAAATCTAAGTCACCATTGGGAAGAAAAAGCAAACTGTAGAAACAGATGTGTGAGTACCGGGCATGGTGGCACATCCCTGTAATCCCAGGCCTCAGGAGGCTGAGGCAGGAGGATCGCTGTGAGTTCAAGGCCAGCCTGAACTACTCTGGGAGACCCTGTTTCCAAAAACAAAACCAGAAAAAAAAAAAAAAAAGATGCACGAGCTAGTTAGGGTGGTATACACCTATAATCCCAGGATTTGAGGAGGCTGAAGCAGGAGGACTCTAAATTCAAGCCCAGCTTGGGTAAAGTTCATTGAGTGACACCTGTCTCAAAAATAAAACATCTCTAAATAAAATATAAGAAAGGGCTGGGGATATGGGGATGTGGCTCAGTGCAAAGGCCCTGGGTTTCATCCCCAGTGCTGAGAACAAGAAGAAACACTTCACGCTGTGGAGAGCGGAAAGGATCCCCAGGCCCCTCCCACCACCACCCGGGCCTTGTACCTGCGACTTCTCCACAGAGGCCGTGTGCTTGTCGCACATGGGACTGATCTCCATGCCCCGCTCTCGTTCGCGGTCGCCCTGCTGGAAGAACTCTGCCATGATGCGGTCCGTCCACTGGCGGTACAGCTCCAGCGGCTTAGTGGGGTTGCTGAGGTCTGCGCAGTGCACCATGGTCCGAAGAACCTGCACAGGGGGACACGGGGGACCTCCAGACCTGGCCCTGTCCCAGCCTGGGGCCTGGGGCTGCTGGGGAGGAGAATGAGGGGAAGGGGAGGGGAGAGGCGTGCAGAGATGGAAAGAGAAGGGGTATTGCCAGGTGTGATGGCACACACCTGTCATCCCAGCACTCAGGAGGCTGAGGCAGGAGGGTCACTCAGAGTTCAGGGACTACATAATGAGTGCAAGGCCAGCCTGCACTATAAAGCAAGACTCTGTCTCAAAAGGAAAGAAAGAAAGAAAGAAAGAAAGAAAGAAAGAAAGAAAGAAAGAGGAAATGGCAGAGAGGGACAAGTGGTATGAAAGGGGAGGAGCCGGGGGGGGGGCAGGGGATGGTGAGAGAGGAAAGGGAGAATTGGGGGCCATGCGGAAGAGGGAGACATGAGAGATGGGGCTGGAAAGAAAGATGGGAAGGGACAGGGATGGGCCACGCGGAGGCGGCTGAGCAGGGGGAAGCTGCCCAGGCTGCAGGGGCGGGGAGGGCCGCCTCCGGGCCCGGGCGCACCTGGATGCGGTCGGAGTAGTTGTCCAGCAGGAGAACTCCCGAGCTCGTCACCTTCTTGGTTTCCACCATGGTCTTCAGGTCAGCTAGGAGGGTCATGTGCTTGGACATGTCAGTGGCCAGCACCTGCGGGCAACGGGGCGTCACAGGGGCCACTGAGCCCGTCAGCCCCCTGCTGCACCCACCCAGGGATCAGGAGCTTCCGGGGTTCGCACCCGCCCCTCGGCCAAAGCCCGCCCACCATGTCGATGACCATCTTGCGCAGGCTCTGCCGCTGGCGCTTGCTGAGGTTCTGGAAGATGTCGCAGTTCTCTTCCTGCAGCAGCTTGAAGCCCACGGCCAGGTGGTGGTTCTCGAGCACCGACTCGTCGTTGTACATGAGCGCCAGCTCCGAGTCTGCAGCCAGGGCCAGGCAGGTCAGGGGAGGGGAGTGCAGGGCGCCGGACCCTGGCCCCGCCCCTCACTGCTGGCTCCGCCCCCAGCCCCCAGCCTTGCCCAGCCCGGTCAGTCCCACCTCCCGCCCGACGGGCCCCGCCTCCAGCCAGCCTAGCCACGCCCTTAGGCCTGACAGCTGCACCTCCATTGGTCAAACTCTTCCGGGGGGTGGGGGGGCCCAGCAGGCTCCGCCTGACTCCGCCCCCACCCCACCCCTGAGAAGGACCACTCACTTGTATTGATGAGGAACTGGTTCGAGACCCCAGGGTGGTCCACATCGTGGATGGCGGCTGCGAAGAGGGCTGCGAGAATCTCCAGGTCCGTGAACACCGCCTGGGGTCAGAGAGATGGGGATAGCGAGAGGCAGTATTAGAAGGAGGGGAGGAAGCCGGGCGGGCGTGGTGGCACACGCCTGTAATCCCAGCACTCAGGAGGCTGAGGCAGGAGGATCATTGAGAGTTCGAGACCAGCCTGGGCTACAAAGTGAGCTCAAGGCCAGCCTGAACTGCATAGCCCCTGTCTTAAAAAAAAAAAAAAAAAAAAAAAAAAAAAAAGAAGATCTAGAAGGAGAGGAGGAGAAAGACAGGCAAGAGCACTGCAGCCAGATGGAGGAGGTCACAGCTGGGCGGCGCGGGGAGGGGGCGGACACTCACGTCCAGGGCAGGCGTGGCCAGCAGCACGTGGGTGGACTGCAGCACGTCGGCCGCGTGCAGGCTGTTGTGGTAGGCCACGTCGGCGTGGTAGTGGTCCTCCAGCGTCAGCATGTATGTCACCAGCGTGTCCACGGGGATGCGAAACTTCTTCAGCAAGTCCCGCTCCTGGGGGCCACAGGGACAGAGCAGGGACCCTGCTACCCCTGAGGGTCCCATGCTGTGCCCCTCACAGCCCGGCCAGAGCCCCGCTGCCGCCTCACCTGGAATATCGTGTACATGATACAGCTCAGCGAGCGGCCCCCGGCGTAGTCCGACACGCAGAAGATGTTCAGGCCCCACTTGCTTAAGTTCTCCAGTTCCTGGTGGAGACGGAGGTCAGAGGTCAGAGGTCAGGACCCTCGGGGCCCTTCTGCACTGAACCAAGGGCCAACACAATGAACTACATCAGCCTCTAAGGTGAACTGCTCAAGAACCCTCCACTGGACGGGCGGGGTGGGGGGGCTGCCTTATCTTCCACATCTTCCCACAATCCAGAGCGGTGCGGGCACCAGTAGGTGCTCAAGAAACCCAAGGCGACGGGCGCCCTCTGTTGGTGTCCAGCAGGGTGAGATCAGCGCTGGCACCGAGGGTCCCCTGCGCGCCCCGCCCCTGCCGTGCCTCCACCCACTTGGGCCAGGAGCTCCTCCTGATCCGTCTTCACCCCGAAGCGGGGGATACTGGCGTTGTTCAGACAGCTGTGTGACAGCCTCTTCACCCCCGTGATCTGTGACATGGGCTGCAGGTGTGGCACCGGCGGCGGGAGCTGCTGGGAGGGCCTCTGTCTCGGTGGTTCCTGGGGCTCTCGGTCTTTCGTCGTCGGAGAGGGGATCTCCACTTCATTCTGTTTGTCTGCAGGAGTTCGAGGGGGGTGGGCATGAGCACCCCCGAAGGGAAGCTCCTCCGTCCCTCGGCTTCTCACCACGGCCTGGGAAGACTTACCCAAAAGGGCGAGCCCTGTCCAAGGGGCACACGGATGGGCGCTCTGTGGCTGGCAGCCAGAGGGGGCACAGGCGTCCTTGTGGGAGTTGGTGAGTGTGAGCAGGGGGCCTGGTGCCGGTCCGACGAGGCTGTGGGCCGGCCCCGGTGCCACCGCCATGTTTGGTGGCATGGTGGTGTGGGGAGTCGGAGACTGGGAGGGGGGCAACAGGGAGGGCCGCTGCCTGGCCCGGACACTCAGGGACCCTTCAAGGCTGGGGAAGGCAACACCATGGTGGCCAAGAGGGCTGGGGGCAGAGGGCATCACTGGCACAGGGGAGAGAAGGGGGTTCTCTGGCTCCATGGCCCCCCCTTGGCGCCACCCTGCGTGGGGGCCAGCCCTAGAAGGCTTCTTAGAACTTTCAGTCCTCGCCAGAGCTACCCATTATGACTTGGGACCACCTGTCAATGGACAGGGCCTATTTAGGGGGTCATTTGCATACCAAGCTGCCATTGGCTGAATCCTCAGAACTCTGAAACACACCGTCTCTTATTGGTGGGAGCATTTGAAACGCTAGGTCCTTCTATTTGCGCTCATAGGAGTGTGTTGATTTGGCAGGGTTTGATTTGGCTGAATTTGGAGGCCTTTGGGATTTGGTGATAAGTTGTGAGAGTGAAATTGTCCTGAGTGTGTGTTTGTGGGGGTACCCTTAGTTTGAGGGCTTAGGTTAAGAAGTCAGGATAGAGTTGAGTTCCCCACAAGTTTAAGGGTTGGATGAACGTAGGGTAAATCTACTGCATTTAGGGTTCCACGGGGTTAGGAAATTGTCCTACAATTGGGAAATCTCTTATAGGGTCTTTTTTTTTTTTGAGACAGAGACTCGATGTGTAGTATAGGCTGGCCTTGAAGTCACTATGTAGTCCAGGCTGGCCTCGAACTCACAGTGATCTTCCTGCCTCAGCCTCCCAAGTGCTGGAATTACGGCTATGTACCATCCCTCCCAGCAGGGACGTTTTTAAAGTTCGGGAATTCTATTTGAATTTGGGGGGCTATTGGGATCTGGAGTTTAATAAGAGTTCCATTGGGGTTCTATGGAGTTTAGAGTGGGTTTTCAGTTTAGAGATATATTTGCTTGATTTTTTGGTACTGTGGATCAAACTAGGGGCCTTGAACATGCTCACTCTGACCTACACCCGTAGCCCCCAAGACATTCTTTTTTTTTTTTTTTTACTTTGTTTTTTGAGACAGGGTCTCCCTATGCCATTCAGGCTGGCCTTGAGCTCACTTTGTAGCCCAGGCTGGTCTTGAACTCACAAAGATGCTCCTGCCTCAGCCTCCCAAGTGCTGGGATTACAGGCGTGCGCCACCACACCTGGCTCCCAAGACATTCTTAAAGGTGGGTTCCATAGAACTTGGGGGTCCCACTGAGTTCGGGGGCCTCATGAGTGTGGGAGCTCTCCAGTGTGGTGGCTTTGACCTTTAGGGAGTTAAGAGGTTGGGGAGCCCCCCAGCCCAGGCGTCCCTCCCCACTGCAGCCCTTCACTCACCAAGGAACGTCGTGGAAATGTACTCTGAGACCTGGTTTCCCGACCTGCTCATTTCTGACAGGTGTGTGAGCTCGCGGTTCAGCATCCTCTTGAACTAAGGTGAGGGAGCCAAGAAGGGAGGGATGGTGGGGGATCATGGTGGCTGCGGGGTGCATGTGTGGGTCACCCCTTTCCAACAAACTCCTAAGGACCTCAGATGTCCCTCCTATCTCAGCTCAGAGCCCCCAGCAGGCTGCTAGAGAGGAGGGGTCAGCCCTTTCTCTCCTGCAGCTATAGATGGGGGTCCCCAGGCTGAGTGCAGAGATCAGAATCAGTATAGCCCTCCTTCTCTGAGAAAAGAGGGACTCCCTTCCCCAATCCCCCCCAAGGAGGAGCCAGAGGGGCACCTGTGGAAGGGAGGGGCTCCTGCCTAACAGGGAGCCAATGGGGTACCAGGAGAATCCCGTCGCCATGGTGATGGGAGTCTCCTTAGCAACTCCCCCTCCAACCAGCTGCTGAGCTGGGGAAAGGGGGGCAAGCTGGAGGCCCCTTAACCCTTGCCTTTCCAGAGTTACCCCTGGCCCAGGGCTTGCCAGACATGAACCCCGATTCCTGGGAGTCCTTAGCCTCAGCCCCAGTCCAGTCTGGAGGAGGGGACTGTAGCACCCAAGCTCTGGGGAAGAGAAGGTCTGGCCAGGCCTCAAGGGAACAGTGCGCTGAGGAAACCCCAGTTTGGTCACTCAGGGGAGGGGGAGGTGGTTCCCCTCCTAGCCCACTCCCAGCCCCAGAGACAGGGGCAGATGCACACGTAAATGGAAGATACCCAGGGCTGGCCTTGGGGGCCCCTTCTGGTCCTCCCATGCCACTTCACACGGGCCGACGCTATGACATTGTGCACAGGAAAAGGGCACTGGCTCCCCGCCCCCAAGCTCTGCCAAAGCCTCCCCAAAGCAGGAGCAGCCTCCGTTCAGAGCGGCAGGAGGGACAGCAGGCAGGAAGGGCGGTTCCTGTGGGGACAGGGTGGCCACGGCTCCCAGTGCTGCCCAGAGGCCCTGGACACACACCCTGAGCACACACACACACCTCACACACATCACAAGCACACAGAGTCCAGGCGTCTTCGTCCCACAGCATCACACAGCCCAAATCACGGGGACACACACAACAGAGCTGTCGGTGACATTCAGGGTCACACGGCCCAGAAACATCAGGCAGCTCGGGCACACAAACACGGCCCGACACCCAAAATCCCAGTCAGAGCCATGTGATTGCAGACAGGGCCACGCTATGACCTAGACAGGACACACACCCTCGCACACACATACACCGTCAGGTCTCGGCGTCACGCCCCGGGAGAGACCTAGGCTCCCCAGGAGGACCGCACACCCCCAGCCAGCTGCCATCCCCGCCCAGCCCCGGGCCACACACAGCGCCAAGGCTCCGTGTCCTGCCACACACGTGCACGTCTGCACACACAAGGCCCCCCCACCCCGCCGAGGGTCTCCTGCCCACCCTCCAACCTGTGTCCCCTACCTGGTCCCACCAGCCCACCAGCCAAGGCTTGGAGCAGGTCTCGCAGAAGAAATCGACCAGGGGCATCTTGGAGCCTTAGCCCCGCTCGGGGCTCGGGGCTGCTGCACGGAGAAGCCGGGCGGGCCGGGGTTCACAGCGCGGGGGAGGGGTGCCGGGCAGGTGGGGCAGCGGAAGGGGGAGCCGCGGAGGGGCCTGGGCCGGCCCAGCAGGGCTGGGGGCTCCCTTCCCCTCCGCGCTCCCGCTGGCAGCACCGGTTACATGGCCCGCCAGCCACTGACCCCGGCGGGCCCCCCAGCGGCGGAGGCTGGAGGCGGTGGGGGGCCCCTGCCCATGGGGGTTGCGGGGTGAGGGTCCCGGGAGGAGGTTTGGAGGCGCGGGGCTCCGTGTGCGCCCCGTGTGCGTGTGCACTGCAGCGCTGGCAGGCTGCGTGCGAAGTCAGGTGGTGCAGGGGGGGGCGTTAAAGGGGCATCAGGGCCCACGGGCGTCAGCCAGGACCGCGGGTGCCAAGGGCGGGGAGGGCAGGAGACCCACACAGCTGCCCCTGGTGAGGACGCAGGCTGTCCTTGGACACACCTGGAGGCAGAAGCACACACCCCGACACTAGACACACACACACACACACACACACACACACGTCCTAGGTCACCAACGCACATGCCCAGGTTCTCCACAGTTGAACACCCAGGGGACACTCTAGATGCCCAAATGCTTTCAGTGCTACACTTTCAAGGCACACACACGCGCACACGCGCACACACACCCGATAAACCACAGCTCTGATGTCCACCACACTGGCTGGGATCCCGCGGAGCACACACAGACGTCTCAGACACACCCCTTCCAGGAACACCGACCCGCACCCAGACACACACCTAGAGACAAACACCTAGACGCCAGGCACACTCGAGACACACCCAGGGACACACATTTCAAGCACAACTACCCCGATTCCCTTGGACACAAACGTACCCCGGCAACTTAATAAGGGGATATTCATTCCCACCCACAGCTGTACACACATACACACACACACGTGCACGGCACGGGAACACCTGCCCGCCCCTACCCACAGCACTGTCGCACTCTCAGCTGCTTGACCCACCCTCGGGGACACAATCACTTTCACACTCGCAGTCTCCCAGACAAGCTTCCACCCACAGATGTATGCACGCCCCAACAAAGGCGCCGCCACCTGCACACTCGTTTCCGGATAGGCACCCTCCCACAAAGGCGGCCACCATGGTGCAGAACTCCAGAAGCGCCATTCATGCTGCCTGCTCTCCGAACGGTGCCCCCTGGGTTGTGCAGTGCACACCACGCACAGCTGTACAGGGCAACCACACGGCCTTTCCCGCAGCAATGCGAACACAAGCACAGTCACAAAGACTACAGAGACACACACTCAGATTCGCACCTGGACCAACTTCAACCCGCAGATACACATATCTCTCGGGCAACAGCCTGCGCGCATAAGGCACACAACCCCTCGTAACCACCGGTGCCCGCCCCGCACCCTCTGAGAGTGCACACCTGCTCGTGCCGGCCCTCAGCACCCACTCCAAACCCAACCCTGCAAATGAGGAGCTAACACTTCAACAGCTGCACAGATTCAGACCACAGATACACACCCACAGGTCCCGTGAATGCACAGCAACCCCAGAGTCACCTACAGACAAATGTACAACCAGACGCACATATGCCCTGATGCACACCAGGCTCCGCCAGCCCTGAGGGAGAGCCGGAATCTATGGAGGTGGTCTTCAAACTGCTGCCCAAGGGTTGACCCCGCCCAAGGACTGGCTCCACTCCCCAGGCCCTACACGCATCAGCCTAGCCCGCGGGGTTGACGCTGCACATGAAACCCGCCTAGGGGCTGCCCCTCCCCTCACAGACAGCACGAAATAATTGGCCCTGCCCACCTCTGCCCCGCCTAGTGGTTGGCTCCACCCACAGTGGCCCTAGATCCCACTCCATGGGTCCTACCCAGGGATTGATCCCGCCCACTGCTGAGTGGCTCCGCCAATAGACTCCATTCCCACCTCACCGAGTGGTTAGCCCCACCAACCAGCCCCTCCTAGAATTGGCTCCACCCACAGGCCCCGCCCGTTTAGGGCCCTTGGGCCTGTTCCATAGACCCTACCTAGTAATTGACCTCACCCCACTAGCCCCACCCATCATAAGCCCCACCCATCACCCCTGCTTCGCGGTTGGCCCATCAAAAGCCACGCCCACCTACCACGCCCACACACCTTATGCGAGGCCATCTCGCTGACCGAGCGGTAGGTCTGCATGGTCTCCAACTGCTCCAGGCACCAGTCCAGCTCCTCCAAGGTCTCCCGGGCCAGCTGCTGACATGTCTCCTCTGGGGAAAGGGTGGCAGAGGTCGTGTCTGCACGGGCCCCAACAATCCCAGCCACCAGGTGAGTGGGTGCGGGGTGAAGCGGTGACAGCCTCCCAGCCGAGGGACCCCAGGGATAGCAAGCCACGCCTTTCCCACCGCGGGGCTCAGCTACCTGACAGTGTGGCCTTGCAGACGAGGGTGGGGCCTCCCAGCGGCGACCGCCTGTAAAGAAATGAGGCGCCCATGTCACCCTGCCTGCCAGCCCGGGATCTCAGCCTCCTGTGCTGTGTCCCCTGCACGCTGTCAGGTGCTCTGCCCGCAGCCTGCCAATGTGCCGCACCAAGAACCCATTTTACAGATGAAGAAACTGAGACCCAAGGAGGTAATGCCGCCTCCTTGGTGGACACACAGCTAAGCAGTAGGACCACACCTGGAGTTTCCAAACTCTCTGACTGCTTGACTACTCTGCCTAACTTCTGCAACCCTCTAGGATGGCTCTGTCCACCTGCCTCAAAACAGGAAGAAGCAATCGTATTTACGGAGCACTTACTATGTGCACGGTGAAGTACTGGCACTTTTTACACCATCTCTGGGGCTCCTCAGAGCTATCAAACAGGGACACTGTTGCAATTTCCTTTTTTTTTTTTTTTTTTTCTTTTCTAAATTTCTTACACAATTCCCATTTTAAAGAAAGGAAACAGAGGGATCAAGAGTGCTACAGACCCAACACACTGGCGGCCCAGGGGCCAGGACTAGCTGGGGTCTCCCTACCTCGAAACCAGACCCTCGGGTCTTTGTATTTATAAAGTGCCGGTGTCTTAGGCCCCTCATCTATAGCGGGCTCTGGCTCAGAAGGAGGTGTTGCCTGAACAGAGGTTCAGAGAGGCCAAGGGCCCGCCTGAGGTCACACAGTGGCTGAACACTGAACCCGCTGTGCCTTCACCTCGTGATCACAGGTACTGGGTCCCAGCCTCAACTTACTTGTGGCTGGGAATGGGCACATTGGTCAGGAGCGAGAAGTTGCTTCGGACGCTGCGGAGACTGGCCAGCACCTGGGGTGGGCGGGCGGCAGTAAGGACGGGTGCAGGGCAGGGCCAGAGATGCTTCCCTCCTGAGCCACCCGGGGAGGGGTCTCACCTGGGCAAAGGGCGTTACAATGAGGTCCTCTGCGTGCCTGCAATCAAGGATGGTGGCCGGTCAGGGACCCGCAGAGAGGCAGCTCTGGGGAGGTCCCTGGGGGGCGGGAAGCCAGTGGGCAGGGCTGTGGGGGTGGGATATACTGCCAGGGTTGGCCCTGAGGGAAACGGGGTAGTAAGGGGTTGCAGGGCCTAAGGTGGGCCCCTGGAGAAGGGGTGGGCCTAGGGGATCCATGGAGAGAGGAGGAAGCTGAGGCAGGAGGATTGCAAGTTTAAACCCAGTCCGGACAACTTAGAGACACTTTGTCTCAGGATAGAATCAGTGCAGCTCGGTGACACAGCGCTTGCTTAGCCTGGTGACACTCGGGTGGCCGGGCCGCCTGACCCTTAACTGGGGAACACAGACATGGAAGGTGACCAAGGGGGGCAGCGTGTGCTGGGACCCGGCCTGGGGGTGCGGAGAGGTCTGCTCACGCCTCGCTGGTGACCGATGAGTTGCGGGACATGGTCTTGGGCGACATGTCATAGTCACTGTCAGAGCGATAGAGGAAGGACTCCCGGCGCTGGCTGGTGGCTGCCCCGGCGTGCAGCACGAGGCCCGGGCTCGCCTGCGAGTCCAGGGGGCTGCGGCCGGGGGACGGTGTCGGCCCATTTTCCGCCTCGAAGCTGCAGGTCGACAGGCAGGGAGAGCAGTCAGAGAAGCCAAGACAGTGTCGGGGAGTTCAGGAGGTGGGGGAGGCCCTGGTTCCCCTCTGTGCTTTGCACCTCAGATCAGGCCCTGGTTCCCCTCTGTGCTTTGCACCTCAGATCTTCCTGGCTGCCAGGATCTTCCCAAATCTGTCTCCATCACCTTCTCGGCCCTAGCCAGGGACAGGCATTCACATCTACCTGGGTCCCCGTGTTTTCATTCTGTCTATTCCTCCCACTGCCACCAGAGGGCGCCCACGGGCACCAGTCAGATCGTATCTTCTGTAGCTCAGCGCCTTCTTTGGCTCCCATCTAACTCAAGACAAAAGCCGGTCTCCACTGCTGCGCCTAATTCCTTTTCTTTCTTTCTTTCTTTCTTTCTTTTTTTTTTTTAAATTTTGTCTTTTTGAGACAGAGTCTCCTGATGCAGTTCAGGCTGGCCTTGAGCTCACTTTGTAGCCCAGGCTGGCCTTAAACTTGCAACAATCTTCCCGCCTCAGCCTCCCGCGTGCTGGGATTACAGGCATGTGCCACCACGCCCGTGTCACTGCGCCTAATTTCTGTGACTTTCAAGATGCTCCCCAAATGTTCCTGATGTGGTTGCTCCTGGTGTGGTCCTGCCTCAGCCCCCTTACCCAGCCTGTTTCTCCTTCCCAGATTCCCAATGGTACCTCTTTTTGGCCTCAGTTCAAATGCCGACTCATGAGAGAAGCTGCCCCAGGCCAACACATGTCAAATTTCAACCCATAGCTGGGCGTGGTGTGCACACCTGTAATGTCACCCATAGGGAGGCTGAAGCAGGAGGCTCTCAAGTTCTGGGCCAGCACGGGCTACGTAGCAAGACAGTGTGTAGTTCAGGCTGGCCTTGAACTCACTATGTAGCCCAGGCTGGCCTCGAACTCACAGCAATGCTCCTGCCTCAGCCTCCCGAGTGCTGGAATTACAGGCAGGCACCACCATGCCTGGCTCAAGCACTGGAAGTGGAGCTCAGTGATGAGCACATGCCTAGCATGCTTGAGGCCCTGGTTTCTACTGCTAGTACCGCAAGAAAACACAAAAGAACCACAACAAAAATACTACTTCCATGATATAATCTATATTCCACTTATCTCCTTTACTGTTTGTCTCCCCTTCTAAAACTAAACTACAGAGGAAAGATTTTTTTTGGAGACAGGATCTCCCTATGTAGTCCAAGCTGGCCTCAAATTCAAGGTGATCTTCCTGCCTCAGCCTCCTGAGTGCTGGGATTACATGTATGTGCCATCACTCCCAGCAAAGGAATAAAGTTCTGACTTTTTGTGCGTGTGGTGCTGGGGAATGAACCCATGCCTCTGTGCATGCTAGGTGAGCAAGCACTCTACTTCTGAGCTGTATTCTCAGCCCTAAGCCCCTTTTTTTTTTTTAAAAAAGAAAGGAACATGGAGCTGGGGTTTAGGTCAGTGGCACAGTGCCTGTGTGGCAAGTGTGAGGTCCTGAGTTTAATTCTTTTTTTTTTTTTTCCCTCTGGTACCAGGAATTGAACTCACGACCTTGCGTTTGCCAGGCAGGTGCTGTGTCACTGAGCTGAATCCCCAGCCTCTAATTGTAGTTTACTTTTCAATCAGGCATTTTTTTTTTTTTTTTTTTTGGTACCAGTAAACAAACTCAGGACTTCGTGCTTGCCAGGCAGGCGCTTGTGCTGCTGAGCTATATCCCTGGCCCATGAGTTCAATTCTTGTTTCCCCCCAAAAAAGAGGAACATGAAGTAGTTGCCTCAAGACAGTTTCCCAGCCAGGCATGGTGGCGCACGCCTGTAATCCCAGCACTCGGGAGGCTGAGGCAGGAGGATCGCTGTGGGTTCAAAGCCAGCCTGGACTACAAAGTGAGTTCAAGGGCAACCTGAACTGCATAGTGAAACCCTGTCTCAAAAAGACAAAAAAATAAATAAATAAATACATAAACAAAGACAATTACCCAAAGAACAAATACAGGAATCAGAGTATAAAGAATATTATTTTGGGGGAATTATAAATTAAAACTTAGGGGGCTGGTACAGTGCTATGCTTAGCATACAGGAGGCCCTGGGTTCAATCCAAAACACTGTAAAGAAAAATAGTCCTGAAAGAAACCAAAGACAAGCTAGGTGTGGTGGCACATGCTAGCACTTGGGAGGCTGAGGCAGGAGGATCCCAGCAAGTTTGAGGCCAGCCTGGGCTCCTGGGTGCCATAGTTCAAGGCCAGTCTGGGTTACATAGCAAGACCCTGTCTCAAAACAAACAAAAAACAAAGGTATATGGAGAAGGTTATCCCGTATTTATGGATTTGAAGACATTGCAGCAGCACTTTTCATGAATTCATTCTGGCAGGACTGTGAAGACCAAAACCCACAAGCACCAAACACGCTGTCCCGGACAGAAGGGCCGTAAGTCACCAGGCAACGCGGCTTAACAGGTTCTTGCTTGCACTTCAAGTCCCAAGCAAACAATGGATCCTGGGACTACAGGTGTGCACCACAATGCACGGAGTACCACACGCACATACCCACACTGCGCTCCACAGCGGCCCGCGCCCAAGGCGGGGCTGTGTTATGACGTGCACGTTAGTCCCAGCAATTTAGAGATCAGGTCCCCCCAACCCAATGGGGTTTGGTGTATGTGTTATTTATTTTTTTCTTTGAGAAATAGAAAATCTCATCCTAAAATTCACATGCACTATCCAAAGGATATAAATTGCCAAAACAACCTTGAACAAAAAAGAGCAAAGGCCAGGGATGTAGCTCAGCGGCACAGTGCCTGCCTGGCAAGTACAAGGTCCTGAGTTTAATTCCAGGTACCAAAAAAAAAAAAAAAAAGCCAAAAAAGAACAAAGTTGGAGGACTCTGCTTCCTGATTCAAAACTTCCCCGAAGTTATGGTAATCAAAACAGTGTGGCACTGGCATCAAAACCAACAGCATAGAGCCGGGCGTGGAGGTGCATACCTGTAATCCCAGCACTCGGGAGGCTGAGGCAGGAGGACTGTTGGGAGTTCGAGACCAGCCTGGGCTACAAAGTAAGCTCAAGACCAGCCTGAACTGCATAGTGAGACGCCGTCTTAAAAAGACAAAAAACAAAAAAAAAACAAAAACAAAAAACAAAAAAAGGCCCAGAAACAAGCTCTTGCATATGCGGCAATGGTGTCAAGACCATTCGGTGTGCCTGTCGTGCCTCCAAGTTCAAGGCCAACCTGGGCTACACAAGGAGACCCTGTCTCCAAACACACAAAGCTGAGGCTCTGTCAGCCATATCCACAGCCCCTGTGCATGAGGCCAAGTGTTTGGGATGTTTCCAGATTTAGGAGTGACTGCAGACACAGTATGATATATCTTGGCAGTGCAAGCCAAGTCTATGGGCTGGGGATGTAGCTCAGTTGCATAAGCACCTATCTGCCAAGCACAAGGTTCTGAGTTCAATTCCTGGTACCAAAAAAAAAAAAAAAACCTTAACCAAGTCTAGACATGAAATTCACGCATGCACCACTTGCACCTCATACATTGCCCAGAGATCATTTTATTGTATTTACAGTATTTTTTTTCCTATGTATTTATTTAGTTTTTCAAGACAAGGTCTCACTATGTAGCTCAGGTTGGCCCTGAACTCACGATGTAGCCCAGGGTGGCCTTGAACTCCTGGCAATCCTCCTGCCTCAGCCTCCCCGAGTGTTCAGATTACAGGCATGTGCAAGCAAGCCCACCTTATACAGTATCTTTTATCATGATGTATATGAAACAAAATTTCATGATGTGAAATTTTCTACCTGTATACTCCCGGCAGCCTTTCGGATTCTGGAGCCTTTCAAATTTTGAGTTTGTTGATTAGGGAGGCTCAAACTGTAATAATGAGACATTTCTTGTGTGTGTGTGTGTGTGTGTGTGTGTGGTGCTAGGGGGAACCCAGGGTTCCCTCTGAGCTATGTCCCCAGTCACTTTTTGTAGTTCTCATTTTGAGACAGTGTCTCTTTCAGTTACTAAGTTGCTTGCACTTGGCTTGAACTTGCTATCTTTCTGCCTCAGCCTCCCAGGGTGCTGAGATTACCGGCGTGAGCCACCACATCCGGCTCTGAGACACATCTTGCTGAGTGTCTGCCACTATCGATGTACTTTGTATACAGTGACTCATTAAGTTGCCATAAGTTATTATTTTGGGGGGACGTTTGAGACAGGGTCTCACTACGTAGCCCAGGTTGGCCTTGAACCCGAGGAGATCCTCCTGCCTCAGCCTCCCAAGTGGAAGGGTGACAGGCGTGCGCCACCATGCTGGGCTGCTGCCATAAGTTCCTGAAGTGGGTCCAGCTAACATCCTGCACACTGAAGAAAGTGAGGCAGGGAGGAGTGGGGAGGGGTGGTGCCCCACTGCCTGAGAACTGAGTCCCACAGGCTGGTGCTGCACCGCCATAGGGGCCCCACCCCCGCTCCAGCCAGGAACGGAGCTATGGGAGGAGACCCGGCCCCAGGGGGTGCTCGGCCTCCTGGTGACAGAGATACCTCCCCGGGGACCCAGCTCGCGTCAGCAGGAGCCTGCCGGGCAGCCTGGCCGGGAAGAGCGCACTCCCGGGGCCAGGCTGTTTGTGTGGAGGAGAGGAGGAGCTGTCCCTTGGGCTGTGGGGGGACGCGGCCACCCCTGGAATTAGGCCTCAGGGCTCCCGGCTTCAAATCCTGTGCCCCAGGGCCACAAGCTACGCTCAGGGGTGGCCGATGGCCTCACACTGCAGCCGGACTCCTGGGTGACACAGCCCACCGGACTCTTCCCGGGCAGGCTGGCCATTTATTTGGTGGCACACTCCTTGGCACTGCCATCTGCCGCCACGTCTGTGGGACCCCCCAGGCCTGCCCACGCGGGCCCCAGGGACATCAAGTTCAGCTCCGGAGGATGACAAACAAAAACAATTATCATAAAACGATGTGGACAACCGCTACCAAACGCCACATGCGAAACCCCGGGCTGTGCCTGGATACGCTTTTCCC